CAAGTTATTTTTGGGTTAAATTTTTTTTTTTTTGGTCAACAAAACATTTATTGCACTTCAGACCTTTTGGCCTTAAGTGCATCTGAAGTGTAATTTTTCACTTCAAGAGTTATTGGCCTAAGTGTAGCAAAATGTTTGTTACACTTCAGACCTTTTGGCCGTAAGTGCATCTGAAGTGTAATTTTTCACTTCAGACTTATTGGCCTTAAGTGCATGAAACTATTGGTTACACTTTAGACCTATTTAGTCTTAAGTGCATCTGAAGTGTAAATTTTCACTTCAAACTTATTGGCCTTAAGTGAATGAAAACGTTTGTTGCACTTCAGATTGTTTGGCCTTAAGTGCATGAAACCATTGGTTACACTTCAGACATATTTGTCCTTAAGTGCATCTGAAGTGCAAATTTTCACTTTAGACTTATTGGCCTTAAGTGAATGAAAACGTTTGTTGCACTTCAGACTTTTTGGCCTTAAGTGCATCTGAAGTGCAAATTTTCACTTTAGACTTATTGGCCTTAAGTGAATGAAAACGTTTGTTGCACTTCAGACTTTTTGGCCTTAAGTGCATCTGAAGTGCAAATTTTCACTTTAGACTTATTGGCCTTAAGTGAATGAAAACGTTTGTTGCACTTCAGACTTTTTGGCCTTAAGTGCATCTGAAGTGCAAATTTTCACTTCAGACTTATTGGTCTTAAGTGCATCTGAAGTGCAATTTTTCACTTCAGACTTATTAGCCTTAAGTGTATGAAACTATTGGTTGCACTTCAGACCTATTTAGCCTTAAGTGCATTTGAAGTGTAATTTTTTCATTTCAGACTAATTTTTTTAACTTCAGGCCCGATAAGTCTGAAATTGATCGTAAAGTGGGTACACTTACAAATATTTTTGCAAAGTGGGTATAGGTTCAATTGTGACCCCAAAATCGAGTATAGATGCAAAAGCCTCGACTTTTTCCTTGAAGCCCATGAAGATTAAGAATTTAATGGTACAACTGTAAACTCATTGCTTTTTAGTTTTAAAAATAAATAGTTATCTTGTATTTTCAATTTTAGTGCAATGAACCAAACCTGCACCCAACAAAAATAATTTATATACTATTAAACCTTATATAACTAATTCTACATAACTAATAGCATGTTTGGCCAAATTTCTAAAATCAGCTTATTTTGAGAAGTGCTTTTCTCAAAAGTACTTTTCAAAAAAGTGCTTTTGGTGAGAAGCAGTTTGTGTTTGGCTAATTAATTTGAAAAATACTTTTGAACAATAATTAATGTCTGCTTCTCAAAAACTTCTTCTTCTCCTCCTCAAAAACACTTTTTCCATCTAAAAGCTTGGCCAAACACCTCAATTTTTGGCCAAAAGTGCTTTTGGCCAAAAAAGCACGTTTGGCCCAAAAGAAAGCTTGGCCAAACAGGCTATAATTCTTGTATTATAATCCACAAATGTAGGAGATACAAAAGATAGTCTATATTCACTGATTTAAAATCTTGAATTTTTCTCAAACAAGAAACTGTAAGAATTCTTCTTAAAACCTGAATATGCCCTGAAAATAATAGCATGTTTGGCCAAACTTCTAAAATCAACTTATTTTGAGAAGTACTTTTCAAAAAAGTATTTTTGATGAGAAGCAATTTGTGTTTAACTAATTAATTTGAAAAATACTTTTAAGCAGTAATTAGTGTTTGGCCAAGATTTTAAAAACTACTTCTAAGTGTATTTTTCTCAAAAGTACTTCTTAGAAAAGTGCTTTTGGAGAAAAACTACGTTTTTCTGCTTCTCAAAAACTATTTCTGCTTCTCCTCAAAAATATTTTTTCCATCTAAAAGCTTGGCCAAACACCTCAATTTTTGACCAAAAGTACTTTTGTACACTTAAGGCCAATAAATCTGACGTGTAAAATTACACTTCAGATGCACTTAAGGCCAAAAGGTCTGAAGTGCAACCAACGTTTTTATACACTTAAGACCAAATAGGCATGAAATGCAAATTGCCCAGAAACAAAAAATTGTTATTCGAATTATAACAATATAATATACGATTTAATACCTAAATCTATTCCAAATGAGCTCAAATTTGAAACATAACCTCCAAATATCACCAGGAACAAACCACAATCATCAATTTGTCAAAACACCAATAAATCTAATGAACTCATGTTGCAATTAAGAAAAAGAAGAAGAAACCCTAAGCAATAGTAAAAACTAAAGCGTCATAATAGCTTGTCATTGTAAAACATCATAAACAACATTAAAATATGTTCACAGCCACCATATAAAATCATTGTCACCCGAAGAAGAAGAAGAAGAAGAAGAAGAAGAAGAAGGAGGAGGAGGAGGAGGAGGAGGAGGAGGAGGAAGATGTCTGAAGTTGTTTAAAAAGTGGATACAAGTTAAAACTTTTTTAAAAAGTGGGTATAGGTTAAATGGGGGAGCCCAAATAGGGCGCCCGTGCAATTTTTACGAAAAAGCCTAAGGTAATTTTATCCTCTCGGTGCTTTATCCATGTATTAGTTATTTATAAGTGAATTAGTTATTTCATGTTGTTGACCATATTCACAATTTATAAAGGTGGATGATTGTTAGAGTGCCATTTCAAGAAGGGGCGGGATCTAGAGGTATGGAACGTACAAGAATATTTAGATGGGAACCCTGTTCAATCTACCTGTGACTAGGAGTGAACAAACAAAACCGATAAACCGCACCAAACCGATAATTCGAGTCAAACCGAAAAAAAACCCCGATGTGGTTTGGTTTGGCTTGGTATTGGAAAATAAAACTCAACCATAATTGGTTTGGTTTGGTTTGGTTTTAACTATAAAAAGTCTAACCGAAACCAAACCAACCCGATAGTACATTTATATAATTTTTAAAAATATTTTATACATATAAATATTTATTGTAACATAATTTATAAATATTTATTAAACTTTTTCACAGTTTTATCTTTTAACGTGTTATTTCAGTTTAGACTTAACATTCTTGAATGGTAAATAAATTTTAAGGCACATAAATGTAGTAACTCAAACAAAGTTCAAATCAATATTAATGCTAACAAAAGAAATTCAATTCAATACTAGGAATGGCGATAGTGTTGGATAATTATTTTAGTTTTACATTGATTTATCATGACAATGCATAACTTCGTTTATCTTTTTCTTTAGTGCTTAGTTATGTAATTAATATTAGTACTTATTAGCTATACTTATTTTAGCATGACCTATATAGTATTTCTAGATTATGTTAATTTTCATTATGGCTTATTAATTAGCAATATTTGTTTTATGTAATTTTATTATTTTATCTTTGTTATTGAATATTTTAGTATAATGCTATGACTTATCTCACATTAATGTGTTAGTTTCTTGGAAATATATTATATAATTGTATTTTACTAGGACTTAAGAAATATTTGGAGCACAAGTTACATATTTTATGCCATGAAAATTTTACCGGAAAAAAATTCGAAAAATCGAAAAGTCCGAGAAAAATCGAGATTGAAAAATCCGACTTTGTTGGTTTGGTTTATAAATTTAAAACCCGACACCATTGATTTGGTTTGATAATTGAAAAATTCAAATTAACCCGACCTATGTACCGGGTGAGCCTGTGACCCAAGGATACTGGAACCCAGCTTCTGCACACTACCTGTGACCCATTGATGCAAGTTTATAAATCTCTTTAAGCACATTCACTTTTCCCTTTATTTTTTTCTTGGGCTTTTAACAAAACGTTACAAAACACCACTCGATCTTACAACTACACTTTTAATTTGTTTCTTAGTTTATTTTTTAAAATAAAACATAATAAATGACTAAAGTCAAACTAAAAAGAGAACCGAATCCCAATTTTCCAAATCAAACATTGAAACAAAAAGGGTGAGAAATAAGAAGAGGTCTGGTTTTTAAAAGCCTTGTTGCACGACTAAGAGCCCGTTTGGATTAGCTGATTGTAAATAGTTGATAAGTTTGAAATGCGAAAAAGCATTTTTAAGAGCTGAAACTGATTTTTTAAATAAGCATTTACGTGTTTTGATAGACGAGCTGAAACTGATAATAAACAGTTGATGTATTTGGTAAAAAAATGCAGATAAGTTATTCTTTTATTAAAATGACTAAAATATCCATAAAAACTTTACAAAAGATTATAAATTAAAAAGGTTCTTTGTAAAGAAAAAGATGAAGAATGAATATGGAATGAAAAGAAAGTTAGAAAATTTATTTTGGGAAAAATATTTTGTGAATTAGAAAATATTATTAAGAATAAACTAGTAAAAACCTTGGTCAAACTAAAAATGCTTATAAGCTAAAAAACGGGGTGACCAACTTACCCAACTTATAACTTATGATGATTTTAGCTTATAATCACTTTGAGTATTTACCAAACGCGTAGATAAGCCAGCTTAGCCAAACACCCTCTACTTTAAATTGTAAGAAAAAGTTCTTTCACTAGAAAATAAAACAAAATCGGAGCCAATTTTCGACTTTTGTCACTGCCACTTAAAGTAAGCCATTGCCATTTGCCAGGTCCTTCACCCTCCCTCCAGCTTTTTTTTCTTCCTTTCATTTATTTTCCTCTTATATTATATTTGTTATTTTTTAAAATATATGTTGAATATCTTACTCATTCATTAGTCAAATTATTATGATATATTAACTTGAGTTTGTGGTAGAAATCCATAATCTTCAAAAATTCTAGATCCGTGCGGTAGAAGTTCATAAACTTCAAAAATCCCAGATCCGTCTGATTTCAAGTCGGAATACTAAAGCCAGTCTGTAGTACTGAATCTTATACTAACTAGGAAATGATGCTGATCAACATGCAGGACAGGGAAGGTTTGAAGTTTGATGCCATATGGCTATATCGATCTTTCATTTCATTAACTTTTTTTAAGTCTTTTACTTCCCCGTACATTCATTTTCTTTTTCTCATGGTGAGGAGCTGATTTGTTTAAACAAAAATTTGTCTGTAATAATACAAATTTGCTTTAAAGAAAAACAGATTCTGGTCCAAAATTTAAATACCTTTCATAATCGAACAAATAAATCCTCCGACATGACAAGTAAATGATAAAAAGAAGTTTCATCAATACAAAAAAAAAAAAACTTAAAAACATCTTACATACGACTCATATCAATGATGGTTTTATGACTACAAGGGACAAAATGAAGCAGAAATTGAAGTGGTAAAAAAAATAGTAAAGAATCCCAGCAGACTGGCTGATAACTAATATCGTTAATACCAAAACAAGCAACTCGAACAAAGTAATGCTCTTAAGCGACAGCAGGCATGTCCTTAAGCCAGGCATCGAGCGGCTTACCAATTGAGTAGACAATAAAGCCAATCTCTCTTAGCTTGTCAACATTCACAACGTTCCTGCCATCGAAAATGAAAGCGGGTTTTTGCATGTTTTCATATATCCTCTGGTAATCAAGGGTCTTGAACTCGTCCCACTCTGTGAGAATGCAGACAGCATGGGCATCCTTTGTTGCCTCGTAGGCATCCCAAGTCACACTGACTAGTTTCTTGGTTGTGGGACTCATTGGCTGGAGGTGAAGGGGATGATCCCAGTCAAACTTGTTCATTGAGAGGTCTCTCTGGATTTGGTCCTCTTGCACCTGAGGATCATATATGCTCAACCTAGCCTTATCCCCCAACAGTCCCTTGCATACATCAATAGCAGGGGTCTCTCGGGTATCACCAGTGTCTTTCTTAAAAGCAAAACCTAGGATTGCAACTTTCTTGTTTGAGACTGTGTTGAACATAGAGGCTACAACGCGGTTGACAAAACGATTCTTCTGATAGTCATTGATCTTGATAACTTGTTTCCAGTATTCAGCAACCTCAGGCAGACCATTGCACTCGCAAATGTAAACCAGGTTCAGAATATCCTTCTGGAAGCAAGATCCACCAAAACCAACACTAGCGTTGAGGAACTTGGGACCAATCCTTGAGTCCTTACCAACAGCATATGACACCTGTGAAACATTCGCTCCAGTAGCCTCACATAGAGCTGACATAGCATTCACCGAAGAGATTCTTTGTGCCAAGAATGCATTGGCAGCCAACTTTGAGAGCTCAGCGGACCACAAGTTGGTGGTAATGATACAGTCTTCAGGAACCCAATGAGCATAAACATCCTTCAATGTTTGGATAGCCTTCTGGCCTCCTGGAGTTTCCCGGCCTCCAATTAGGACTCTGTCAGGTTTAAAGAGGTCTTCGATTGCGGTACCCTCTGCAAGAAATTCAGGGTTTGAGAGGATCTGGAAGTTAATTCCCTTGCTGTTGTGGGTCAAGATTTTTTCAATTGCCTCACCAGTTTTGACTGGAACAGTTGATTTCTCAACAACTATTTTGTCAGATTTCGAGACATCGGCAATCATACGGGCTGCACTCTCCCAGTAAGTAAGATCTGCAGCCTTGCCTGCTCCAAGACCCCTAGTCTTGGTAGGAGTGTTGACAGAAACAAAAACTATATCAGCCTCACGTACATGTTTCTCCACATCTGTGCTGAAGAAGAGGTTCTTGCCTCGGCACTGCTTAACTACATCGTCAAGGCCTGGCTCATAGATGGGAAGCTGGTCACTGTTCCAGGCAGTGATGCGAGGCACGGAGATATCAACAACAGCCACTTCAATGTTAGGGCATTTGAGTGCAATGACGGCCATGGTGGGGCCACCAACATATCCAGCTCCTATGCAGCAAATCTTCACCATTTTCCTTTCTTCTTTATTAACTCTACAACAGACAAAAGTTCACGTATTTCTGAGGCTAAACTTCTCACGGCAAAGCAAAATCCATAATGTAAGGAATAATAAGGAGCACATTGGAGAACATGCATAAACCAATAAACTAAAAGCTTAAACATGTTATAACTTTTGACCTCTTCAGCTAATAATTTTAGGTCCTATCATGATATTCGTAATGAAAACAATGATACCACGAGCACACTGCCTGCCCTATACTTACCACCAGATTTTAACTCACAAATGTAACATCTAACATAAAAGACTACTGTTTTATACATTTCTCATTGCAGAGGAAACAAGCTGAGAATGCATAAGGATATGCTGCCAAGACAAGGATACAATCGAAACTGGAGACACACAAGGGTTACAGCAACACAGAAAAGACAAAAATCTAGAGTTGGTTTAGAGTAACACCGTAAAATCAAGTCAAAATAAACAACAGTTAAAGGATGACATTAATTCAAACTATCTATCACATACACTACTGCTAACATGCAATTCCACAATTCAACCTGATATATAATACTCCCTCAGTTATATAACTTAGTTTGACTGGGCACAAAGTTTAAGAAAGATAAGAACTTTTGAAGCATGTGGTCTTAAATATGCCATAATGTGTATCTATCAGACTTTTGAAACTTCTTAAACAATGTATTTATCAACTATAAAAGTTTGTCATTAAGATTAAAATGGGAATTTCAAGTTAACTTATATCAAAAATTCTTTCTGCAAAAGAAAGAGTTTCATTCATTTTGGAACAGAGGGGATAAAACAACTGAAAATAGAGCGAATTTCACTAATTCGACACAGAAATTAATAAATGTTAAAGGCAATGAGAATTAGCAGGCATGATCTTGACCAGATCTAAGCCAAAGGCACTCAGATCGTCTACTAATATTCATATTTCAGATCCATCAATGAGTGATCTGAGCAACCACTAGATCTAATCAAAATCTAGCATTTTCACCATTAAATCGGAAAAGAAGAAAAATACAGCTTTTTCCTCAAATTAACCTTAAATACACCACAAAATTCACACTTTATGATCTATGAAATCGAACAAAATATAGCAAAGCTGAAGCATAAATGCATGCGATGTGACACAGGGAATCGTGTAAATGCAAAGTGTATGTAAAGCTGAAATTAAGAACGGAATAAGAAAGACAACTTCGCAAATTCGTACCTGTGAGAGATGATGAATTTAGGAGAAGTAGAAAGAGGAAAAAGATGGATCTGAAAGAGAAGAGGGCGGGGACCTCCTTTATATAGTCGTAGCAGATCTAAGATCTATAAGCGGAGTGAGGAGTCTTTAATAAGGGAACTTTGAGAAAAAAAGTTAAAATAAATATTCCTACTTTTTCACGTTTTCAGCACTGATGCGGAGGGATCAACGACATGCCTCCACACGTAAAGCGAACAAAGTATTCGTCAGTTGCGGAGGTTGATCAATTGTCCAAAAGGCCCTTCACCTTCTCCGCAAAAAAATTGACTTGATTAACTATAAACAACATCTAATTTTCTATTTAAATAAATATAAAATTTATAAAATTTTAAATACACTCATATTTCAATTTATGTAATACTATTTGATTTGGACACGAATCCAAGAAAAAAAATTATTTTTAATTATGATCATAAACAAATCATGATATTTTTCATAGTTATAAACTATGTTATTGTAGATAAAATAAAAGGTTAAATTAATTTATTTCTAAATAAATAAATAATAAATGTGTCATTCTATTTCTTACCTGATAATAAGTAGATGGTGCCATATTAAATGAAACAAATAGAATAATATTATAAAATTACTATTTTTTCTCGAACCGAGAGTTTATCGGTAAGGTCTTCATATACTTTATTCTTCCCAAATTATATTTGTAAAATTTTACTGGGTATGTTGTAGTTAAAATAGATTAATATTTACATATTTATAACGGTATGAAAAATACATAAATTATACGTAGTAGTTTGAATCCCTAAAATAATTGGTAGGAAAAATGCCAATTGGAGAGAATAAAAGAATGGAATAGAAGTGAGGAAGGTGGAATAGCAGAGATAGATATATTTTCCCACGCGTTTTGACGGTTCACGCACCACTGTCAAATCAGAACGGCGGCCGGTGGTGTTGCCCTTCCAGGAAAGGTGCAGTACCAATCCTCAATCCTGTGACTGTGAGAACCAATTTGTATGGACCATGGTTTCAGAATTCAACCCTTGAGTTGCCTACTTTCATTCCATAAACTGACACTTTTGCTTGCTTTTTTTCTTATTCAAATTGAAAATTACGAACTTGACTTGGCCTAGAGATTACAATTGAAATTGCGTATTACAAACTCCAATAACAAATAAACATTTCTTGCTTATTTCATTTTTAGTTGTGCGGCGAAAAAAAATTTAATGTGACTTGTTGTACTCCACAACTTTTATCTCGTAATGGTAATTAGACTCCAAAATATTCGTGAATAGTTTGGTACGGCCAATATCTGTTAAAAATTTATGAGGTACGGATTGTTTATACGGTAAGTAATAATAATAATATACTATATATTGCTATACGATATATAATAGTAGGAGTAATACATAAAATGCTCGATTTTCTTTTCCTTTAATTATTTTTATCCATATATTAATAGTATATGTGTGATTATATTTTACATTATATCCCGCATAAAATAACAAATTTTCTGCCTAACTTACAGAAGTTTAGTAAGACAACCAAACAATGTATTAAATTGTACAAAGATTTTTTTTTTTATATGGCCAACCAAAGAAGGTATTAATTATGTACAATTTTATACTGAATTTTTTTTTTTACCAATACAATAAACCAAACCAACCTCAGTGAAATTTTCTCCTTAATTTTTAAAGGAAAATGAACATGTTACAATTATCTCCTTTAGAATCAAGTTTCAACGAATCAATGGAGTAAGAAGTAAGCATTAATTTCACAAGACCAATTAAATCTTTAAACTTTTATTGCGTGATCTTATTCAGGAGTATTTTAGTTCCATATATATGAATGTTTAATGTAGGATTGGTGGGATACTGTTTTTGTTTTGTTTCTGTTGGCATTTGTCTTTCTTAACCAAATACTGCCACTACATCAAACAGTTTTGTGTTATAATTGGACGACACATAGTGTATAAGTCAAAATCTGCCCTAAAATATTTAGGACAATATAGTACTAAGGAATGGGTCAGTCGAAGTCGACCAGGAAACATCGAGGTTTGTGATCGAGATGTCAACAACGGGCGAGATCGAACACCGTTTGCAGAGTTGTAACGGCTAGTTTTCAAAATGAGATATTAAAGAAAATATTTTGGTGTATATTCTCTGCACTTGTACTATTATGGTGTGTTAGGGGTATGTCTCATACATATAGAAAAAAAGACAGTGATGTAGGGCATGTGACATTTATTTGATAAGAACAGACTTTTGAGAAAGAATCTCTCTCTTTTATAAAGATACAGACAATGCCTTTTAATCATGATTCTTGTTCATATTATTCCACACTTTTTCATCAAATCCGAGAATAATTCGAACATTCGAGGATTTAGGATTTATCTGTCATTCATTGTTGTCAGGAGGGACAATCATCTAGTTCATCCTTTATTGGGTGAATGTCACGCCCCAAACTCGGAGAGCGCAGCCGGCGCTCAACCGAGTAAATCCGACTGAGCAAGCCTGTTAGATTTCATTCTACCCAAACTTATTCATGAAATAATAAGAGATGTACTCCATTAATCAAACACTGAGAAAATTTCATTAACAACTTCTATTCGTTCCATTAGCAACTTCGTTCATAATTTCCAAAGTATTACAAGTTTATAGATATAATAAAAAATATGTTTACTAAATAGCAACAATTTTAGTTCAATTCCCAACACCATACACCACCCGCAACTTGTCTACGGAGCCTCTAAATATGACAGAAGAATAGTATGGAAGTGCCGGCAATAAGGCCCTGGCTATACCTCAAGACACAAAGTGTAACATCAAGTGACATCGAGCCCGAAATAGAGTAGGGCTCACCTAAACCTGCTGAATAAGGAGTAACTTCTAATGAGGACCAAAGTTGCACCGCTGATGAATCACCTGCATCCATTGAAGATGCAGCACCCCCGGCAAAAAGGACGTTAGTACATATGAAATAGTACTAGTATGTAAGGCTAACTGTCCTCTTTCAAAATAGAATACCAATGTAAGAAAGGGAAATACATAGAAACAAAAAGTCATAATCAATGATATTCAAATGTCAAGTTACAACATAATAATTTCCAAAATATGAAGATAACACCATGAAATGATAATCAAATTATGATGATAATATTATTTTTTTGTTGGGAGAACTTTAGCACCGATATACCACTGTTCACAATATCACCGTTCACAATACCAATATTCACAATACCAATATTCACAATACCAGTGCCACCGTACTTTTAGCACGGAGTCCGATCACGGAATCAACCACAATTACTATCAATATCAATACCACCGTAATTTTAGCACGGAATTCGATCACGACCCGATCGGTTAGGCTATCTCATTATAGAATCAACCACAATTATAATCAATACCAATACCACCGTAATTTTAGCACAGAGTCCGATCACGACCCGATCGGTTAGGCTATCTCATTAGAGAATCAACCACAATTATTATTAATACCAATATCACCGTAATTTTAGCACGGAGTCCGATCATGACCCGATCGGCTAGGATATCTCATTAGAGAATCAACCATAATCTCAATTTTAATTTCCAGCACAATTACCACCATGTGTGCGACATGGTGTCCGATCACGACCCGATCAGCTAGGCTGTCTTATTCGAGATATCAACCCTTTTATATCAATCAATCTTATCCCAATTAATAGGAATAATTTTATCGCATCAATCTCATCCCAAATAAGAGGAATAATTCACAAAAATAACATAGGTGCAAATGTATTTACCTCATAATCTTTCACATTATATAAATCTCCATTAGTATTTTCAACCAATAACAACAACAATATTTCCTTGGCTCTTTTGGCCATTTACAAGATTCTTTGTTCAAGGCACGGTGGCCATATTTGTTATTCCACACTTTCATTTCATCCATCTCATGTATCATCATGATAAATATCAACATACATATAATATTCCGGGAATCACAACTTTAAGTTCATTAGAAATGAACAATTTAAGCACAATAGATTTCTTTCTGAGAAATAGAGTAAAATAATTGGCAATTGATGCGCAAGTTAAAATCATCAGCAAATAACACACCATTTATTCTTGACACCTTTTCCCCAAAAAGGGGAATACATAAATTTCCACTCACGAATATGTAAGAACGCAAAACACATTGAAAATACTCACATTTAGGCAATTCTATTTTCGAAGTCAATTCGGAATAGTTGAATCAAGGCTCATTTTATAACCTTTATCACATCATTTCATTTCATTGGCTCCATTGGCCACAAGTATAACTTTCACTTATATCTATCATCGCATTTCATACTTCTTTCACATCTTTTAACTCCATTGGCACCATTAGCCACAATTATAACTTTCACTTATATCAACCATCGCATTTCATACTTCTTTCACATCTTTATAGGTTATCAACAGTAAGACATTTCCAATCAAGGGTTTAGGTATACATATGAGCAATTAAGAATCTTAAGCATATTGAGTTTTCTCACGTAATTTGGAATCATAACCTTCATTTGAAATACAACTCAAAGACATAGTATTTTAATACACATATCATTCTTGAACACATTCCCAAAGTAAACATAATGTGTTAGGAACATTCGGAACACGTTTTGAATACTTAATTCTCGATACTTTGCTTATTCGGGACAATCGAATTTATTGGGAACAACTCGGAACATAGAATAAGGAACTTGAGACAACCATACTTGAAACTTATGAGAACATCATTGAATTCAATTCTAAGAGAGTAGTTTAGCCAACATACCTTGCTTTGAGCTTTTCTTAAATTACTACAACGTTCCGAAAATTCTAGCAACTTCAATCTATTTAGAAACATAACAAAAGTAAACCATAATTAGGAAGATATTCATGGGTTCACCTCACTTAAGCATTTCATCAAACACTAGGTGTGCAAATTGGTTATAAGGTTCTTCCACAAAATTTCCTTCACTTCACAACCCAATCTTTACTTATTTGAACTCAACAAACTTCCCACAAACCTTATTGGTATATTCATGTATAAATAATACTCTTACACCCTAGAATCATACCCTTAATCAACCATCTTCTACCCAAATTTGAAATTGAAAACTAGGGTATGCAACCCTTACCTCTTAGATGAAGAACTTGAGAGATTTCTTGTTGGATTTCAAGGCTTGAACAA